TAGAAGGGTGGAGGAGAGAAAAAGTTCATAACTGTTTCTAGAAATGGATCTCCAGGATTACAGGTGTCCTCTGAGAATCAGGGCTGACAGCCACGATGCTGTTTCCCTCCCAAAGCATCTGGATGTTTGTCCTTCAGCAATTAGACTTTAGAGAACAGTTCAGTTTCACCTACATGGTTTCCATGCCAACACTTGTACATGAGATAAAGCACCTCATGTTTGTAACTCCATTTTGATGGAGGCATGATGGTAACTGGAGTGAAAGAGTTTCAAGCCTGTCTCTGTGACAGGCTGATAGTTCTGGAGATGTGCAAGTACACGAGGTTACTTTTGATGTGTTTGTCAGCTACTTCTGCTGTCGCTCCTCTGAAAACTTGTTTTAAGACATTATCTTTCAGCATAGGTTTAAATTTTGTCATGACCTTTCTACTCAGATTCAGGGGTAAACAGGCTGTGACAATCAAGGGACCACACTCAGCAGGAACTTTCTGTACCAAAGGTCTTATGTAGTATTCAAGAAATTCATTCAACACTATAGTAATCAACTAAACCCTTTAACATTATTTGTTTTGAGCCTAATTTTTTCTTGTTTCAACCACTGCTTTTTGACAGAGAAAATATTTAGCAAAGAACAAAACCTATGTAAGCATTCGTGAACAGGAACTAAATCATGTCCTGGTACACAAATCTGAGAATCTCATTTTTAAAAGCCGTGTTTTCCCTGAGAAACTCTAAAATGATTACAGCCGTTTTAGTAATATTTAGTTTACTCTCACGTTAAAAGAAAAAGAAATTAATCACGTGTTTGCTACCAAGCTTTAAGAGTCATCTTACTGTCTCAGGAGAAAATACTAAACTTCTCAAATAAGTTGCTGAAGAAGAATGCAAGGTGGACACCTGTCCTTTTCCTGCTGGTGTGGGAAGATTATTCTCATTTCGGCTCAAATCAGTTTGATTAATGAAAAGCGTAACACCGGGAAAACAAATGTAAAGCTTCTTCTTAAAATCATTCTAAACTAAATCTTTCAAGCTCTCTTACAACTAGAGGTGAGGTTAAAACTTACTAGCTTCAAGAATTTAAATTCTTGTAAATACAACAGTAATTGTGTTGCTGCGCTTCCAACCTTTAAAGCTTTAAGTCAGCTATGCAGAAGGTGAGTGCCCAAGTAGAAAACAGCAAATAGCTACTCTTATTTTTTTTTATATATATATGTAACAGCAGTGAGTGGTAAAAGCAACAGCCCTGAAGTCTTGGGATCGTTAGAGCTAGTGCTGGAATGCACTCTGCTTGGCACAGCGCGCTCTGGTGAGTAACACAACACAGGAATTAGACACATTCATGCCTGAGTAATCAAGTCATAACAGAAAGCTCTCAACTCTGTATGTGAATAGACTTGGTCTCAACATAACCTCACTGAGTCAGACAGGAGATGTGCTGTATGTGGAATGCCATCATGCTTCTAAGATGATCTTCAAGTATAGAAACTGAGTGTAGTTGTGTTTCATGCATTGGAGTTAATACAATACAATTTTTTTCATTCGTTTCTTGTTTCCACTCCATTTCTGAGAAGAAAACTGTCAAGTTTCTAGAAGAAAGTGAGCAGTAACTAAAAGCAAATGAATTACCTGTCTTTGGTGGTCCAGGTCTGCTTTATTACCAACTAGAATCATAGGAAACTCATCACGATCTTTCACTCTAAGAATTTGTCGCTGAAACTTATAGATTTCTTCAAAACTGTAAAAGAAAATAAGTAAAACATCAGTGTACTAATCCATAGATTCTCAGGTCCTGCAGCAGTTCAGAAGTGATGAGTCACCCATCAGGACTTGCCCTGCCGTGCCACACACACAGACAGCTGCAGGCACTCCACCAAAGGGCCCACTGTCACAGCATGACCAGTTAGAAAATCATTCAACACTCAAAAATGAAAAAAATCCTCAAGTTAGCAGTGTGCTATGCAAGGGACTTAGGTGGGGCTGGAGGCAAAGTGCTTACTGCACCTTGATCCCAGGTGCCAGTGTGTTGCAGAGAACCAAGCAACCACAGCCCATTCTACAAACATTGACTTCGCAATTCAACCCTGGCTGGAATATTCAAACTAAAGCCTATGAGACCCTGGTGATCAACCTTTCAGCTGGCAACCTCCACGGCTACTTCTATCAAAGCTGGACAATTTTACTTCTTGAAGAACAGAAAAAAGGCAGAGCTAAATGCTGAGAAAGCTTGCCAGTTACCAGCTAAGTTACATCAGCTACTGATGCTGTTCAAGCAGTAAGGAACGTTCTAGCAGTGTGTTTACAGAAAGGTGAGCAAAGCAGAAAGGTTCTCCAATGGCAGTATATTAAAAAAAGCTATTTCTGACCTAAATAAAGATTTTGGGTCAGGAGGAAGGGGGGAAGAAAGCTCTGCTTTCAAGTAAACACTGTTAAAGCTACACTACTACAACAGGAGCTTCAGCACAGATGCTTGCAGACAATCACATATCCTTTGGAGCCCAGGCTTTCCCAAGCACTGTATTTAATTCTGGGCATATAGTTTGAAGCTATTTGCAGTTAGATTTGCAAGATGATCATCAGTAAGAACGTTGCATGAAAAAGAAAAAAAAATTACATAGTCAAATATGACAATGCCCAATCCACCTCACTAGGCATCACTGGACCTCCATTTAGGTACACTGCTTTAACACTCAGAAGCTTGCAGCAACTGGAGGAAGAGAAAGTTACCAACTAAGTTATCTACTTTTCTTTTTTCTTCAGAATTACTCTCCACCACATAAGCAGGACATACACTACTAGCAGATATTTCATTGACGGGCAAGGTAAGTCACGAATTGAATGGTTATCTGAAATAAAATGAAAACTCTGCTTTTCAGAAATCTTGAAAGTATTTCAGAGAAGAAAGTGATATGCAGGTTTAATGTGTCAAGACCTGCTTAAGATCAAGGCAGAAGCTTAGCCAGAAAAGCAAAAAAAAAAAAAATATTTTTAGACAAAGCAAGAAGTTCACATGGCAACTTCAAAAAAATCTAATGTCTTCTATAACAAAAGTATTTAAGTTAACACAAGTGCTCAGTATATCTTAAATGCACAGACCCAGATCTCTGACAGAAGTATGAGTCTCTTCTAGACAGTACATCAAGATAAATTTATATATTGAGCAGCATTAAGTGTACGATACAGATCCAATGGAAATATGCTCATGCGCCAAAAAATATTTATCTTAATACTCATTATGGATGGAGCTGTTAATAAGATCAGAAGTTATTAAAGCCTAGATTGAATCTGTAAGGTGGGGGGGGAAGTCACAGACTTTTTTTTTGATCATTGTTGTTCTGCTGCAACTCAAAACAAGTGGAAGGACAGATCCCTGAGCACTTCTTTATTATTTACATATCTGATAAGCTCAATGGAGGATGATCCCAGCCCAAATATTAAGTGACTGCATATACATGGCACTTTCCTACTCGTATAGTGATTTGGAGCTACATGAGCAAGCTCCATGAGCTTCTAAAAAGATCCATTTCATCTCAACTGTGTGGTCAATCAGTTCTGCAGGTTCCAGTGAATTCATGGGAGGAAGCAGAGCGAGCGCTGCCTGTGAAGGGGTGCAGAGACGTGCCCTGAACTGCACACACCCCTTCCGAAATCCAGCACCAGCCACTCAACGCTGAAGAATCACAGAATCACAGAATCTTCTAGGTTGGAAGGGACCTCAAAGATCATCTTGTCCAACCGTCAACCTGACTGACAAAAACAGACACCCGCACAACAAACAAGAAGCATCACCATCACTAAACCAGACCTCCCAGCACTACATCAACCTGTCTTTTGAACACCTCCAGGGATGGGGCCTCAACCCCCTCCCTGGGCAGCCCATTCCAATGCCTGAGAACCCTTTCAGTGAAAAAATGTTTCCTAATATCCAGCCTGAACCTCCCCTGGCATAACTTGAGGCCTACCCTGGCACAACTTGAGCGCCCAGCAAGGGGATATTTCTCAGAATTGATCACAGCACGCTGCCCTTAGTTTAAATTTCTGTCAACTTCCAGGAAACTAGCATTCTGGACTGTAACAAAGTGCTTGAATAGAGTTGTCATTTTTTGTCTGTATGATTTCAAGTCTTCTATTGCACAAGACAGATACTTTCAGGAAGTGATTAGTTAAAAATGGGATTTCATCAGGAGCTGAAAGAGTGTCACACCACAGAATCTAGAAGTGAACACATACTTAATGTTTCTGTTTGAAATTATTTCAATAAAGGATAAGCAGCAGTTTAAGATTAACGACAACTTTAATAATTTGACATCAGGCTTACCTTCCTCTATCAGTGACTGAGAAAACAAGCAGAAAACCCTCCCCTGTCCTCATGTACTGTTCCCGCATGGCTCCAAATTCTTCTTGTCCTGCTGTATCCAGAACTGAAAAAAAGCAAAACACTGATTAACACAGTTCATGTTCTTAGAATGTAGAGTGAGGAAAAAAATAAATTCCTTCCTAGTAGGATATTGTGAAAGCCTCTCCTGCACATCGTAACGAAGGAGAAATCACTTTTCACAGATACTACTGGATTTTTGCTAATATTCCAAACAAGTTCTTGGACTGACTGAACAATTAAAGACCTACCAAAAAAACTGAACAACAAAGTTTGGTGGACTTCTGCTAATTCACAACCAGCTGAAACATACTTAGAGATATTTGGGGATAGAGATTGGGAGGGTTGCTGCTTTGTCTTTAAAGAAATCACTGACAAGGGAGAACAAACTTTTAAAGCAAAGCATTTATATTGCACTTGGGAGAGGCAGCAGACAACAGCCAAGTGATGTGTTTTTCATTCTACCATGTCACCCAGGTAACTGCCAGCAGTTATATAAATTCTCCTAGTTTTGTAGGCACCGAGGCTTCGGGAATAATTCTTCCAAAAAATACCCAATTTACTTTGAAGAGAGACAGACATACGTAAGGCATAAGCATTTCAAATCCTGAGTGTCTCATGAATAAAACAGAAGTAGCTAGCTTTTATCAGCCGCACGCTTACATGAAAGCTGCATGTGCTGCACACTTGTTTACCTGTGTTATATTTCATGCACACGGATGTAAATACAGGCACCAACAGCCCTGGGCTGTCAGTACCACGCTGTAGCTGGGCTACTTACTGTCCAGGCGCGCTGCTCTCTCATCTATCACACATTGCTTGGTGTAGGAGTCTTCAATCGTGGGATCATAATCCGTAACAAAATAGGACTGCAGAGAATAAAACAAGTTTGTGTGTGAGACAGGCACATACAGGACACTCATCAAGTAAGATGCTAAAACTGCCACTTTATCCAAAAGGATAGCAGGTGACGGCTTTCCTATTCTTCATTCACAAAAACGTAGAAATCGCTAGCTGAATCACTGAATTTACTGGATTCCCACAAATTTCCAGCATTTTCCAGAGATTTCTGGTAATTCCCAGAACTTCCCAGCAGGGAACCTAGAAACTTTTAGTTTCTAGCAGCTTTTAAGGTTTCCAGTAACTGCTAAGTTTCTCGGAACTTCTGCAAAGCTTTAGGAGTTTTTTTGAAATTCTAAAAAGTTTCCCAGATTTCATCCCCAACTCCCAGAGCCAGTAATTCCTAGGAATTACCAAGGTTTTCCCAGCTGTTTCTAGAATTCTAGAGAATTCTAGCTTTAGTTTCTCTAGAAACTAGTTTTATAACAACTTCCAGCTAAGACTCCATGCAGCACAAACGGCACTTAGTTTGTAAGCTGATAAAACTTAGTGGATCATCTTTGTTCCCCGGATTTCTCTCCTATTTTTAATGACTTTAACCATGAACACACACCCTCCAAAAAAAGCAATTCCTGAAAGCAGAATAAGCCACGAAACACCTGTGTCACCCATTGCCAAGCACAGGGCCCCACCAAATACTGCCAGTCTGTAACTTATCACCCAAACTGCAGAGGAAAGCACATTCTGGTACATCTTTCTAGAGACTGGGTGACCTAGTATTTAATACTGGGATAACAATACTGCCTGAAGATGGCAAGTTTAGATTTCAAAGAATGAATTTTTAGCACATTGGTGTAACAAATCTGAACTCTGATAACTCTGCCCATTGCAGCAGGCACTGGGGATGTGGATGGGGATACTGCCCTGGCTGTTCAGAAATCCAGCATGTGGAGCATGTATGCACCCAAATGAATACCACAGTAACTGAAGGAGTACTATTGCCCACATTATTCAGTTCTGTAAGCCAGTAAGCAAATAGGAATGCTTTAAAACTACATATTGGCTTCTAGGAAGCAAGAAAGGGCAGGTGGTGTTCTTGTGCTAAGAAGATAGGCCAAAAACAGGGTACATCTCCTTATTCATGCTCTCACTGAAGCATCTTTCCCATCACACAAATTAAAAGACACCAACAAGACACCACTGGGTTCCTTTAAGTGTAACCAAAGTCAAGTTAACAGATATCATAGGAGGGAAAAGAAGAAAAAAAAAGAAAAAGAAAAAAGACCTAACTGAGATTACCGCACTACCCCACTAATCTTCTCCAGACACATCACTGTCAGTGCAGAACACAAGTGACTCTGCTCCTGTGCATGCAGTTTTATTAATGTAGTTGAATTTGTTCTTGTTCAGTTACAGTTTGGAGTTGCCCATGAGTACTCTGTCCTGACTGCACCCCGGTGAACCCCACTTTGAACACATCCACACCTGGTTTTTTAACAGCATGGACATGGGCTTCCCAGCAG